TGTGGGGGGGGGGGGGGGGGGGGGGGAGATCTAACCCCAAATAATCTCTATGGTTAGCCTGCTTGACGGATTCATCAAGTGGTTTGACTGAAACTGGCTAGCCATGATGTCCTATGCAAAGCAGTGTTTGAACTAGATTGGTAAACCTTTGAAGTGGCCATTAATTTTTAAATTGTTTTATTTTCTCAAGGACCATTGCTTAGAAGCTGAATAATGATGCTGTTTTATGAAAAGTTTGTGTATCTCTCTGTCTTCAGAAAACTAACATTTAATAAACAACTTGAGAGGGGACCCAGAAAAGGAGTTAGTATTGTGATGATGTCTTACTAACAGCAAATGGTCTGGTTGAGAGAGGGGATTGCTTTTAGGAGATGTAAACCAAACACTTCTTTTCCTTCCTGAGTAACTGAGGGTACGTCTAGACTGCATGCCTCTGTCGCCAGAGGCATGTAGATTAGGCTGCCAGACATAGGAAAATGAAGCGGCGATTTAAATAATCGCCGCTTCATTTAAATTTACATGGCTGCCGCGCTGAGCCGACAAACAGCTTAACAGCTGTTTGTCGGCTCAGCGCGATAGTTTGGACGCGCGGGTGTCAACATCAAAGGTATTTGTCGACCACCCAGGTATGCCTCCTGGTATTTGTCGACCACCCAGGTATGCCTCCTGGGTCAACAGAACTCTGGCCCTTTTGCAACAGAAGAGAATGTAAGGAAGAACCCAAAGGGGGAGCTGAGTAGCCATATTAGGGATGTAAGCGAGCAGCCGAGTACTCAGCTACCCAGTAAGTCTAAGCTTATTGAGTAGTTGAGTCAAGTACTCGACTACTTACCCTCCCCTCCCCCTAAATACTACCTTCCCTCCTTTTTGCTGCCTCTATCAGAGGCAGCAATGGGGAGGGGGGCGGGTGATGGTATGGGAGACCGCAGTGAAGCAACTCCTTTTCATGGTGGCCCCAGCTGGCTGGAAGCAGCCCCTGTCCACAGCGGCCTGGGCTGGCCATGGACAGGGAATGCTGCCAGAGCATCCTCTGCATGCGGTCAGCCCAGGCCACTGCAAAGAGGGACTGCTGGACCCAGCGTAAGCTGCCCAGCTCTTACTACATTTAAAATGCAGAGCTGCAGCAGTCCCGGACTAGTGCAAGCCAGGACTGCTTGGTTCCAGCTTGCACCAGGTCCGTGAGCTGGTGGCTCTTAACTGTTTCCTCTAAGATTTTCCATCCTTGGGTGGGTTGAATTTTCTTTTTGGCAGGTTGAAATTTCTTATATGCAACACCAATATTGAGGTGATGTGTAGATGTGCACCAGTCAGTACAAACAAAAACTGTGACTATAAATATATATAATAAATAATCCATAGGTGTGGAAGAAAATATATTAAAACAAGGAGCAATGCTTGTGGTTATTTAGTATGAAATCAAATAAAAAGAAAAAATAACACTTCCCTTGTCTGAAGAAGTGGGTTGTGCCAATGAAAGCTCATGATAGTATTTACATATTTTTGTTAGTCTCTAAGGTGCTACAGGACCATTGTAGTTTTTCAAGTTTTTTTTAGTTAAAGACTAACACAGCTACCCCTCTGAGATCCTGGAGTAAATGTATCATCATTCTTTCTAACAGATAGATGCATTTTTCAAAGATGTTGCGAATAAGGTTTCATCCTACAAAACAGATAGCATCACACTTAATACTTGCTACTTCTGACTGATAAGAGCCAGAACTATACCATATAGAATACATCTGGCCTTAATGCAATACAGTTTACCATGTATTAATTAGTAACACAGGATTTTTTTAAAAATCATTAAGATCAGATTTTTAGATATCTGCAACACTCAAAAAATTCTGTTGAAATAATCGTTTTTTTTCCCTCACAGTAAGCCATTAACAGCTATGTAAATCTTGTCTGAAATGCAATCATGCAAATGTCCTGCTCCCCAACTCCCCCTCCCCCATGTAGCTTGCTTTAGGTCCTTTCAAAGGGAACTCTTATGGTACTAAAATAAGTCCCCCCTCTCTTAACTGCCTAAGATACCATCTACAGAATAAATTTACCAGAGGCTCCAGCTTGCACTGTTCCCAAGGAAACACATAGCTTCACAGTGGTCTTACTCTTTAATCAAAAGTCTTGTGTTTTGCCTATTGCAATATCTTCTCTCAACATGGGGGTCTTTCCCTTCCTCCAAAAATCCTTACCAAATATCTTGATTCAACCAGAAAACCATTCTCCTTTCTCTCCCCCCCATCCTCCTCCCGCCCACACACACACATTTGCAGCTTCTGCACATATACACTGTGGCTGTCCTCTTTTCTGCCAGAAAGGGAAGTTTTCCAAGCACGGAACTCAGAGGTTTAAAAAAGGGGAAGAGGGCTAAAGTGATCAGAGAGATGGATGAAGCTGGGGGTGTTTCCCATTTTTAGTGACAGGGCAGGGAGAAGATTGGTCTTGCTCTCACTGGAGGAGATACTCACCTGATTCTAAATGGGGTGAAAGTATGAAAGCACAGGAGAGGAGAAAGAAAGAGGTGCTGTCTTGTTACTATGGAGTGTGGGGTGTGTGTGCAAATTGGTAAGAGTAGGAGGAAAGCAGGAATCGGAGAAGTAAAAAGTCAACAGTCCTGCTCACCCTCAGCGAGTACAGACCCTCCATAGTGGTGGAGGGGGAAGGGAGAGTTCTGGAGCCAGTATAGCAGGCAGCAGCTGCTGCTGCTTCTGCTCCTCCACTTCAAGAGAGCGAGTGCCCCAGTCCCCCCTTTCCCAGCTGGTCAGCTAAGCTCCCTGCCTTCACAGGAACCTCTGAACCT